AAAACTGATCAGTCTGGTTGAAACGAAGATCCAGTAAAACAAAGAAAGGCTTTAATTTATAAAATATCATCCAGGGAAGCGAGATTGCAAAGCGTCGATATTTACGCTTTGCGCAGCCCTCTTAAAAATGGAGGAGCCCATGTTTTTTTTTTTTCGGAAATGACGAGTTTTGCCAAAGGTTTGAGATTAGTCATAAAATATTTTGTTGTAATAAGAAAGATCTATGAGCAATCCGTATCTCACTTGCGTTGAATAGCGCATTTATAGTTGACAGATTTGCTTGGGGTAAACCCCAGCTCTCATCTGATGCTATGTTTGTGATTATCACATCATTTTTTACAAAGTCGAAAACATAACGACGATTTTACACGGTCATGTTCTGGGGTGAAAACTAACTTTTAATGCTATTACCATCTGTCACTGAGATGATTTTCCCCGAGAAACTGACAACTGTTTTCCCACGCGATAATTTTCTAGCCAAAGATGACCAAAGGCATATATTTTTCGATAGAATTGCATTCCTTTCACAAGAGAGTCAAAGGCATATTTGGTAATAGTCATGGTTAAGAAAAATATTTCCTGGAAAACACCAACATTATAACGATAAAGTATTATAGTTTGTCTCACGATGTGGTCACGTGATGTGAATCACGACGTTTCGACTGCATACTGCTAGTCATCATCAGGCGATATACAAGGTCGACTGGTTTCGGGTATTCTCAAATGGCAAAACATTTCTAGCCACTTAAGAGTACTTAGTTGACTCATTTGTTGACAGGTTTTTGGACAACAACCATTTGGAAGACTTGCCAAATGACATATTCATAAATAATATCAACCTAAGAGAGCTGTAAGTCAAAATTTTAAAGTAAATGCTTCCTAACTTTAATCCTGCTGGCATTGTAAAAGGAGGTCGAGAGGGGATAACCGGGAAATATACGAGATATTAATATCAGTTAAAGCATTACAATTATTAAACAGTCGAACAAAGTGACAAAATGTACTATGGCTTGATATATCAGTCTTGAAAGATCTGGTATCCACCGATGCAAAAAGGCTAAGCTTTTAATTCGTCTTACATGTAAAAGGGATATGGTTTTATTTGTTTTGTTTATTATTTTTTTATCTACCTTAATCACATCGGACTAATATTAAGATATATTAATCCATTCAAGCCCTTCTCAGCCTGATTTCCCATCGTGCATCGAGGTGGAAAAGCTGGGGAAGGTGGAAGGGGACGGTGGCCACTATAGGCTTGTAATTGCCTTCTTAGTTAAGACAATTTTTTCCTTTGAGCTTGATTTTAAGTCTGCTGCAAAGTATGCGTTCGTTAGTTAAAATTAGTTTTTATAAGCTACTCTTAAATTCGAGAAAAAATAAAGTTTATGTATGTATGTATGTATGTAAGTACCACAAGTGTAGTCAGCTAGATAGGGATATCCTTGCGATCCGAGTCCGTCTTGAAAGCCTGTGCCATGGAAATTCAGGCCGAGAAGCAAGTGTAGAGAACGCTTCATCAGTCAAAGAGACAGGATGTGTCAAGGCATTCTGCGCGATGCGAACGCTGGACCTAACAGCTGAAAAAGGGTCAGTAGTATGGCTGACAGTACTGTCTCCCCAAGAATTGGGCTTCAACGTAAATAAATAGGAATTCCTTGCTTACAAACTATCAAAATATTCCCTCCACGTGTGTGTGGGGAGGTTTTTATGCTACACCACGCCATGATTTGTAAACGAGAAGGATTTTCATAAAGAGACAGAATGATCCGAAAGATCTGGCAGCTGAACTGTTGAGTACGGTATACGGCGATGTTGAAGTTGGTCCCGTACTTCAAGACAACAGTGGTAAACAGCTGAAAAGAGGGGCTGCTGACAAAGGAAAAGGTGCAAGATTGAACCTTAACGCATGTGGATTCTGCGAACAACAACGATCGGAATTCCCTGATGTCAGGGTCTGCCACCCAAATGCCGAATCCTAAGAACATAGAGCCACAAGAGATCTACAGAATGCATCAGAATGAAAAGAACAGCCAGTACTCAAGGAGAGGTCTCGATATTGAGCGCTAAACATTCACGCCCCTAATAATTACAATGATTACCACAACCGGCGAAATTAGCCTCGCGGAGCTCATAGCTTTAAAGAAGGGAGAGAAAAATTCCAAAAAAATTTCTTGGATTGAGGAAAAAACATCTTTTGCTCTTTGAAGAACCGCCCCTATCTGAATAAAGGGTTCAAAGGCAGCGAAGAGAGTCCCCGGCGATGCAAGGAATGCTTACTTTCACTAAGTTAGCAATTCGATCTTGAAATTTGAGATTTTAGGCTTTAAGTCCAGAAGTGTTCTTTAAATTTCATAGAGCTATTTAGTACGTTCCCACAAATGAGAGGAAATTGAATTATTAATCATGATCAAACACTTGAAGAAAATACCATCAGGCATTTTCAGTAACAATATCCTGCTGAGATGGCTGTAAGTAAGGAACCTGTCTTGTGTAAGGAACGCGTCAAATCCATCTCACACTTGTGAGAATATCCCAGATCAGAGCAACGATGTACTATCACCGTATAAAAGCAGCTACGAGGTAGAAATTTTCCAATGCAAATGTAATGGAAGGCAGGTGAAGGGGATGGATAGTTCACATGCACTCTTGGACTCTTAGCTCTTCTTTAACATAAAAAAAAAAAGTTTTAAAAAAATTATCAAAGAAAGCTTTCTGGAGAGAATTTCGGATTCCGTAGACCTGTCCTAGTTTTCTTGAATAAATTTTTACTTGATAAGTTTCCTTGCTCAAAAACAGTATTATCTGCTTATTAAAAAAAAAGTCAAGCGAACCATAGAAAAGCATTGATCTCCAAACGCAGTGCAATAAATCGAAAATGATCATGAGTACAGTGCAGCACTAATTAATTTATCCCTTTATGTAAATTTGTGGTTTAAAAGTCAAGGCACGAGCTCTTAGCACTCATAATCCTCGACTCGCGGAAAAAAAAGAGCTTAAGGAGAGGATGTTGTCATGCAGAAAATCGGTTCTTGTTTCACTGAATGTTTGAAGTGAATTGAAATGACAAGAAGTAAACGTCTCAAACTCATTAATAATTCATAACATTATAAGCCAACCAGAGCGCTCTATTCGGGTCAGGTGGATGACTTTGAAACTCAAGGGAACACCGGTTGAAAATAACTAGTGTTTCATCACGTTTTCATCGCTAGTGATAAAATTGTTCTTAACCGGCATATTCATAGATAACTCAAACAGCTTCATACTCTTTAAAAACTCCACCAACCTTTCGACTATTGGCAACTTGACACTTTGCACTCGTTGCCAATCGTCAAAATGCCTACTGCCCACTTATTTTTATGTCTAGTAGACTTTGGTATTGCTCTCTCTACGCAAAGTTCTTCCTCCTAGATTGTTTTCGGGAAGCAAAACCTTCCTTCGGCCATGGCAAAAACAATGTGTAAATTACTTCAAGTGCACAACGCTTTTGAAATACAAATCTGGTGCAACGCTAAACCACTGGATAATTGAAAACAAAAGCTCACTAATACAATGAATGCCGGCTGAATACAACAAATCACATATAAAAGGCATTTTAAAGAAAAATGGGAAAAATACAACATTGCACATTTTATATTGTTTCTTTGGCGAAGTCATTTCAAAAACTCGTGTCTCAGGTTTCATCATGTTTCCAAACGCTCGAAAACAATAAAACCACTCAGACTGCAGCCTCGTGGTTTCAAATGTTTTCTCGCGTTTGGAAACCTGATGAAACCCTCGCTTTCGTTTTTGAAGTAGTACTAAGAAACGATATCCTTCTCTCGAAGCTCTCGAGAGAGCTGTCTTGCATTATTCCTCTTCAGAAAAACAGTAATCCCGTATTGGGAGAGGTTGTTCTCATCACTTTTGAAGGAAGGCTGAAAATATATGATAATAATAGTAAACATTTCATTGACCTGGACCATTGACCATTTCATTGACCATTTCATTTAAAGACCATGTGAAATATTTAGGTGTACTTATTGACAGTAACCTTACCTGGAAACATCATATCAGTCATATTGCATCAAAAATAAGTAAAGGCATTGGTATGATCTGTGCACTAAGGCATCTTGTACCATATTCGACATTACTTAATATATATAGATCACTCATTTATCCTTATGTATCATATGGGCTTGTAGCTTGGGGCCAAGCAGCTAAGTCTCATATGGAATTAATATTGATACTCCAGAAAAGGGTTGTGCGACTAATGAACTTTGCCAACTATAATTCACACGCCATCCCTTATTTTATATCAGCTAATATTATGCCAATTAATATGCTTTATGTTAAACTCTCTTCTTTCTTAATCGGCATGATGTCCATAACAATTTAACCCCCCCCTAATCTTTCTGGCTTGTTCACTCTTACCCACCAAATACACAATCATAATACCCGATCTTCATCTTCCGGTAACTATTACATAAACTATTCTAGGCTAAATCAACATAAAAACTTATTCTCAAGGATTGGTTGTAAAAGTTGGAATAGCATCTCAGGAAACTTAAAGAATCTTCCAAAAGATATTTTCAAGAAAAAGCTAACAACAATATTATTTCAAAATCTTCAAGTTCAAGATAGTTATGTTGACGTAGAACGAATAATCAATGATGTGTCAAAAGTTAAATCCAGTTAATAGTAGTGTATAACTTATGTATTCTTCTATTTATTGTCATGAGTTTCTATTTCTGTATTTTTATCTCATACTTTCATTTCTGCTTTTAAATTAATGATTTAATATTCAATTTCTGTTTCTTGTATATT